AGTTTTCATGAGGATAGTTAGAGGTGTCACTTCACAGACCTGCGATCTGATATCGCTGATCTGATCTGATAATTTGGATATCTCGGTATTGGTTTCAATGCTTTTAGCATTAAGTGACTTGTTTTTTATTTCCCTTAACTCAGCCTTAAGTTCCCCTATAGACAACTTCAGAAGTTCTATTTCTGAAGATAGTACTGAAAAAGAGCTTGATGGCTGGAGTTTCTCGATAAGCACATAAGGTGTTGGGAGAGGTTCTGTATGAGCAGAGGGTAGTGAATTTTTAGGAGTAGTGCTGATACTAGCTGTCAGTACAGTTTTATCCTCAGTTCCAGCTCGACGCTTAGGGCATACAAGTGAGTTATGTGACTCACTATAACCGTTTGTAGGGGGTGTGTTGCTTGATGTGGCAATCAGGGACGTGAAATCAGTCACCAGTTTTATAGGAGATTGGGTTCGTTGCTTTTTACTTTGAATAGCCGTAACTATTAGAAATGGGAGTTAATGGTTACAGGTATGGAAGTAGTATAGTACTTGTGCAAGTATTACAGCAAGATAAAAATAGTTCCAGCATTTATGTTTACTTCTATGTAATTTACAGATTTCTCGGTTTACCCAAAGGAGCAATGTTTCCGAACCTTTGGGACAGACCAAGGCGTGAAATGTTCAGTTACTTGGGCGTAAAGTTGTTTGAGCCAGTTCCATGCGGCTTCTACTTGGGACTCTGGCTTGGTGTACCAGTTCAACGAGTTGGCTGCTGAGACGATCGCATTTGTGTCAGCTTTCCAAATGCTTGGTCGAACTGGCATCTTGGCCCATGATACTACTACTGTAAACTTGAAAGTGAGCACAGCGTGGTCACTTCTTCGCAAAGAAAGGAGATGTTTCATGAGATCCACATCCTCACTATCGGAGAACAATGGGTTCAGAGTTGAATAGGAGTGCTGTGAGTCAGACAGCAAGTGCCTAATCACATGTTTGACTAGGGCTAGCGAAATGCTACATTCAAGCAGTTTATGATCAAAGGAGTTTTCTGAAGATGGCGCTGTAAGGCTTGTCCACTCTACTGTTGGGGCGTTGAAGCCACCGTCTACGAGACTGCAACATTTCGATGTCCAGATATCATCTGCACTGCAGTCAGGACTGCGGTATATAGCAGTGAGATCAATATCTTAGCCTATGCATTTGATTCCGCAGCGTAGACGTTCGGACAATTCACTTTCTAGAGAGGGGTCGCTTCGATGCCACACACGATTAAGCATTTCGTAAGGTAGATGACTACACCACCTCCTTTGTGGCCTAGTCGGTCCACCCTATGTGCTTTGAAGCTTGTCAGGTTAACTTCGTCATCGGTGATATCGGGTGGAGCAATGCCTGTGGATGATAATACATCCGGATTTCTGGGGTCAATCATATAACCCAGCTAAGTTCATTTAATCAGCAGGCTATGGGCGTCTGTGCACCAAACTGTCAATTTAGTTTGGTGCTTCCGCAGCCTAAACACAGAGGTCTCGGAATCATCAGGCCTCAAAGTTCGACTGCCCGAAAGTCCTTAATCTTAAGGTTTTTCGCCGTTTCAGCGTCATTCACTTAATTCTATGGCCTTGGACTGTCTCTTGACATGGTGCACTAGGCATAAATCTGCATGAACATATATTCCTGATGCTTTAAGAGTTTGTTTGACAGTTTCTTAGAATGGCATCTCTCTCTCTTCTCGGGAGTTGAGTACGACTTTGAGAAGGCGTACCAGCTGATTTACTGTCGAGTCAGGCTTTCGGTCAATTCCATATAATGTGCATGGTTGTGTCTGATACTGTTGTTGGCACTAACTTATCTAAAAGGGGCTTGACCAAGCTAAGACCATGCTCGAACCTGATCTCGGGATCGGAGGCCGGTGATTACTCCACTTTGTGGAGAATGAGACCTATAAAATAAATCAGGTTCGCTTAGTGTGGCTTTCTTGTTCTGCAGCGTAGGCTACTTTCCGTCCTCCGTGGACAGTGTGGCCATCGCGGTGTCCTATTCTTGGTTTTTGCGGGATACTATATTACGCCATTCGTTGGCTTCCCTCTCGCTGACCGCAGTCGATCGTGTCTGCCTGCTATCCACCGGTGTGAATGAGGCTTGATCCACAAGTTTCTATGAGATTTTAACTGCAGGTTTCCGACCCCTGATACGCCTCTTCTTTGCGCTAGTCTTTCTATTACCGTCACTAAAGGGCTTATCCATTATCGTCTGGGGTAGTATGCGCGTCTGGAATGCGGTGGGTGCTCTTCTGTGCTGAAGGGCACTCACTCCCTGACAGAGACGCTTCAGGAAGGTGTAGTGTCTTGGCGATGATGCCTGTCACGTCATTGATGTCTATGCTGTAGTCGCACTCCTCGTGTGGTGGAGGACCTCTGCAGTCCAGGAGCTCTAGAGTCCCACTGAGAGCAGCAATGGATTCCGATATCCGAAACCTGGTCGTAGTACAGCAGTCATTAGGACAGGAAGATTCAAAACATGGCCTTATATATGACTTGTATGTGAATCAGCGATAATAAAAACCAATGAGTGTAGAAAAAAGGATATATATATATATACAAAGTTACAAAAATTAAACTTCCTAGGAGTAAATAGACTAAAAACTGAAAAGTTCACTAACTTCGATCGAAACGAACTGATTTAAAGTCAATCTATGGACTTTTGGAGCATATAACACAACAAAAGCCGAAAATAAACAAGAGCAAATAAAAGGCAATGGATAGTGGCACACGCAGCTGATAGAGAGGCTGAGCACTCAGTATGTTGTGATTGGCCGGTTTTCATTTGCGTGAACGCTGCGGCTAATACGTAGTACACGTTACTGGGGCGGGCTTTGAAATGGTAAAAATAAAAGTCGCATAAACATCACATTTTTCAGCTTAATCGGACAAGTTAATATATGTGCAAATTTTACAGATGTGATATGCATTGGATCCAATAACAAAAAGAATATTATTGGGTAACCTAAACAAAGAAGTATGGAGTTTGAAGATTTAGTCTTTTCTCAGCTTGCTGTAAAGGGAGAATAGGAGAGGCAGTTGTGTAATATTTGCATTTTGCAGAAGACAAACTGTGAAAGGTAAATCGAAAGTTCCATAATTCTTCAATTCTGCCATGGAATGTATAGACTAATCCTACCGATTCTATTATTGATCCCTGTCTTTTCACATACTCATTGTGGTTGAGATAAGGAATTGTTCACCTGAGGTAAGATGAATTCACCTGATATGTATACATCCTTAGATATTTCTCGACGCAGCCGCAGGTGGTCGAAGGAATACAATCTCGATCTTCGCATGGAAAGATCATAACCAGTTTCTTCTGAAGGATTAGGTGGTGCTGAAAGCTGTAAAGACGGGTCCAGTGTCACTATCATCTGAGGGAAACTATCCACATATTGTGGATGAAGCGATCAGTGGACTTTAATTTGACTATGATGTGGCCATAAAAAATCTACAACTGTGATTTTTTCACTGAATTGTTGTAAACCCTTTTTATTGGGAATATGTACTGTTTGACTGTCGTTTATTTTGTAAATATATGCATTTATGCCGACTACTTGTATCTCTTTTACTTATCATTTCGAGGACAGTGCATAGTTAACGACATTGATAGGCATCGCAGTAACATTTGTGTGAAATGCGTCATAGGCGTAAAACATTATTATCTCCTCAGTGCATCATCAAGCCTCGCATGAAATGTTTCAGTTACATTTAATCCGGTTGCGCATAGCATAAGCATGCATCCGTGTTAAGAAGGAAAGAGCGTCAAACATGTGTTTGTATTGTAATAATGAAATACAGTAAGCCTTTTGTTATGTACTGTCAAATTCGTAGACGATAATTAGTCATCATATGCGTGCAACATCCCAGTTAAATTTAGTCCGACTGCGTAAAAGATTACCTTTCATCAGGGCTAGCGAAAAATTATACTTTGAGCTTATGTTTGTTATGCGATTAATACATATACACAATTGCAAATGTAGGACGGCTATGTACATCGAAAATAATGCATTATAGGTGTATCCTATTGAAGATAACTATCCTTGTGTTTTTATGCTGCACAAATTATCACTCTTTCAAAGAAAATCATTACGCATTCCAAAACCAGCTACATCAGTATTCCTTCGACAAGCAAAGGGTAGCAGTAGTACAAGAATACCGTTAAATCTTTAAGAAACATTCATTTTGATAAATAATTTTAGAATATCACAAAGATTCCGACATTAACACGCAAATTCTTCAATTGCACTTCATCAAAGCCTCCAAATAAAATGAAACATTACGTAAATTACAATCAACCTGCAAATCAACAACAGTAAAACATCTGATACCAAAAAATTAGCAATATAAAAATGCCACAAACCAAAGTACCCTCTAGGAAAACTTTGTTCACTCACTGTTATCTTACGAGTAAATCAACTCACACTCCTTTATAACTGTAAAATCTTGTGACTGTTACCAAGTTTTCATAACTCACAGATTCAAAACACCACTTCAGCATTTCGCAAAATATACTTCAACTACCTAATTCATTTCGTTTTTATTGCAATAATCACCAATTCACACAGAATTTTAACATCCCACATGCAAAGAAACAACGAAATTCGATGACAGATACATGTTCATTCAAACTGCTGAAAACGTCAACTTTCCACCAATTTTCCAAGTTTTTCATCAAAACATAGTATTTGTAATACAGTTCGTTTTAAAAGACACCTGAAAACAACATAGAACAACTCTAATACAACATCGCGATAACACACAACTACACCCCGTGTGTACCTCCATTGATTGCCAAAACAAAATTCACTCCATTTTCAAAGCTCGCGCGGAAATTCACTGTAGACGAGGAACCTTACAACCCAAAGTAAGCACATAGAAATCAATTTAGTTTACACTGGCTTGTAAAAATAATATTGGATATTGTAAGTTGTGATTTCGTTTTGTTTAGTCCAATGAGTGCAAAATACACGGCACGCGCAATTTGCTAGCTGGCGTTCTTCCCCTGTGGTTTGACGGACAATGTTGCAAGACGTAGTGATAACCAAGCTTTTCTTACCAGAGCGACGAGGAAATCTCTTACTGACAAACATAAAACAAGAGCCAACTTCGGAAGGCTGCCCCTCTCAGAGCTTGTCCGCTCCAGTAAGTTTTTGGTATAAATTATGCCTTTACGAGTTTGGCCACGGATCGATATCAGGTTGAGAACCATTGAAAACCAGGGAGTATTGGACAGCTACTGTTTCATCCTAGTTTGGGAATCATCGGCTGTGTGAGCACACACTGCCAGGATTCGAACCGAAGACCTAGCGGTTACAAGGCTAGCGAGCTCGTATACCACCTGGCTACTGGGACCCGATTCAACGGCCAGTGCATGAATTCTAACTTCTACCAATTCGTGACTTAGCGCGACCACCAACCAGTGTCATAGGCGGGAAATTCATCCTCACATTTGACTGGATGTGCCCTACTGGTCATGACTTCGCTCTAGAACTTCAGGAAACTCCGTCCTGTAGGAAGTCACTAGTAAGCATCAGATTAATTTTCAAGAGTTGGTTTGTAGGGATTAGATTTGTTTTTGCGAATTTGACCTCGGATTGATATCAATTTAATCCTTACAAGCCAGCTCTTGAATATATTATGCTGTTTTTAGATTAAGTCTGCGTTTAGTTGCCCAATCTATTTCATTGATTTTGTACAGATTGAATTAAGTATCAGAAATAAGACTTGTATTCACACTGGTTTCGCTAAAATTCTCCTGATAAACGCCATTTTTGTAATCCGTGCGGACTAGATAATTGTAGTGGTATTGTGAAATTTTAGCATCCTATGACGTAAATGCGTGCGAATTCAGCTTCCTGGAAGGCTTTAAGCAATCCTAGAGCAGAGGATACAATTTCATTTGATTGTAACACATTTAATTGGGTGTCGAACGTCATGTCTGTTGGGGTAGCCACTATGATTTAACTGCATCGGTTGATATTTGTATACATGGTTTACACCATGTTCATATCGCAGAATAATCTCAGTATTATACAGAAATGCTACACAATTTCTTATTTTTATTTATTTTTTTATTTTTGATTACAGCTTGATTCCACACTGTATTTTTGGTACAAGTATGGAATTTTCAGCATGAATATCGGTAGCCCAAATTTCGCAGGCCGACCATAGATATCAGATGTGCGTCGGCAGGGGTTCGAACCTTGGACCATGTGCATGGTCGGCGAGAGTCGTAACCACTGTGCCACCGACGCACCTGCCTTTCACGCCACCTATACGTGTCATCACAGTTACTTCCTGCCACTTGTGCTTTCCAGTGGTGGTATTCAAACAGTTATTATTGATTGCACAGTTCAGCGAAACAGTTGACTGCGTATAAATAATGTAGTTTCAGGGAAGACGGTAGGGATTAAGTTCGTTGTTTGCATATAAGTAGCATGTAGTACTAAAATTGTCTTTAGGGACAAAGAATGGTAGGTTTAATTTTGCAGGGAAACTAATTTTGTGATGTTTATATGACATTTGTAGACATGAATCTTGAAACTAATACAACCAGTCACTTGTTTGCTGTTGTGACACATATTTGTAAGCATCTCAGTTAAATCGTGACACTGGGTATCCGGTTGAACTTATGTTTACAATTCATTTTGTAGCAGGAGAAGTGGGTTGTGTCATTGGGAATGAGGTAGAACATCCATTGGGAGGCTTATATCTACGTTTTATCACTGAGCAATCTGCGGAAGTGTTGTTGTTCAGCAACATAACTGAGTCTCTGAAGACTCCTTTATTGAATAAAGCTACCTAAACAGAACCTTGTTATATGATAGTAGTGATACTGATGTTGGTGCGGAGTTAAAGAATAGAGAATCGATTATAGAATCTTGAACAGACTCTTAGTGTGGTTCAATATGAGTTTCACCATTATTCTTCATCTCGAAGGTACAATTTGTTCTCAAATCGTTTTGGAGTGGATACTATGTTATATTTTATATTAATTCCACATAGTTTTTGTGTATTCCGTGTATGAAATATCCACGATTGTACATAAGCTTTATCTTTGTAGGTTACGGAAATTTCTGAACCTACTCAATCTAATAGTCGAATTCGATTTACAAGGTCGCAAAGCGTCACCTGTCCACCACCTTACTTTACTTCATCTGAACACATAACCCTCCCTGGAAATACTTTCTACACTTGGTCGAGATTTTGTCAGCAACCGATTTCTGGGACGCTGAGTGGACATCTGAACGAGTCTAATGGACTTGTTGTAGGAAGTTCTGTACCTGCTGTAACCAATGTCAATGATTCCACTGCCCTCATCGTACCCAGTACAATTCGTCAGCGTACACCACATGATGTAAATGCTTTTCCATGTCTTCTAGTGCTATTTTGTTTAAAAATTCGTGTTATGACTTCTTAATCAAGAGTTAGGTCAGTAATTATGTAGTGTCTTTATTATCACTTCAGTTTTAATGCATTACAAGAGTGTTCTTGAGATGATACCAGTTTTTACCCAGTTTGGGTTTATCCGAAAGTCATTTGAATATTACTGGTGCTGTAAACAACGGATACATTTTTTATCCGCTTATTTGGATTTATTTTAATTGGTTAAACTCTTAACTCATTTGTGCGAAAATTCATAACAAACCATCTGCTCTTATATTGCAAGAGTTTGACTGATTCTAAGTTATATTACTGACTACCACCGGTTAGAGGATCAGAGGGTTACTGGACAGCCCACAACTGACTGGCTACAGGATGGAGTTACTGGGTGTTTTGGTGAAATGTCGTGACCAATGAGGTCCACCAGGTTGGATTCAAGGGCGGAGCTCGCTGACAAGACTGGTGGATGGTAGCGCTATATGTCACGAATGGACAGAATTCATGATCCATTGGATTCTGTCCCAGTGGTCAAGTGGTGAATGGACTCGCTCCGCAAATTGAAGGCCCAGAGTCCCATCCCTGATGGGGTAGTAAGTGTGTGCTGTTGGAGTCTCAAATTGGGACGAAAGAGCTGTCCAGTACTTCCTGGTGTTGTTTCTTTGACTGATGTCAGTTTGTGATGTGACTTGAAATCATCTCTTACAGTGTATACTCACATATAAAAGCAACAAAATGGTAAGTGTAAGGTATGAAATCGTAGAATACATAAATATTATAACCTGTATCACTGTAAGTGTATTCCTAATAAAATAATCTCAAGGATGGAGCAGGTAGGTTTGAGTCTGATTACCGTGTCTGTCACCTACTTTTCCATACATAGTTTAGAACAGGACTGAGAGATAGCAACAGCTGCCTACCATAAAATCTCTTTGAGAGCAAGCTTTCTTGGTTAACATTGTCCTAGTGGCAGGTATTAATTGAGCTCATGCAAGCTATGATGTGGTCATCCAAACTGTAGTGATTTAATCATTTCAGTTGATGAGTTGTAGTTGTTATCAATGTGACACTTCAAGCATAACGGTGATCACCTACCTCATGTCTTGTGTACCTATATTTCCCAATTGCAATACTTTAACAACAGTAGGTAGAATACCTCGTCTGCAGTGTATATTGAGTGTTTTGAATTGTTTTTGAACCCTGACTTTTCTTTACAAGTAACCAATGTTTTCCCGTCAGTTGGCCGGGGAATCTAATTCTGCACCACATGTGTGGATGGCGACCATTTGACCGCTGTGCCACCAACGTCCACGAACTTGTATGGCCACTGTAATTACAGATAAAGAATAAACAGTGAGCAAAACAGCGAACAAATATATTCACATGTAGGTCAGCTAGTACATAATAATGGCCAAGAATAGTCAGCGTTATTTCAAAAAGGATGGAGTGAATACCACTCCCCATATCATTTCCATCCATCTTAGCTCTCTTAAGACTAATTAAGGTATCCAAAGTAGTTCATATATATTTATAGGTTCGGATTGTTTGTTTCATATCATGATTGAAGTTCTTTCAAAACCATCATTGATCTACATTTTTTACTTTATATTTCACGTCAGGATCAGTGTTCATCAAGTAACGTGATTCATAATACAGCTTCCGCAGACACACGCCTACATTTGGCGACAGGTGGTGAGTGTGTTAATTCGTTACCATTTGGTAACGACACTCTCTCTGGTTCTTCATCTGGTGTCACTCTTCCTCCAACAACGCAATCTTCTGGACCTAGGACTTCTGATGCATTTAATCATCGCCCAGTTCATTCAGCTGTTCGTAATAGATGTACGTTAGTTCCCCGTCCCACACCACTATCAAAAGGATGCACCCAACCGGAAACCGGTGTATTGCTGAATTCACAGCCACCAATGGTAAACACTTGTTCCCAACAATTAGGAAGTAATATACAAAATCCAGTTGTATCTACAGTCGATCCGAACAGAGTAAGTGTCGAGAATGATTATCAGAATGGTAGTTTCAATTTAAAAATATCTTGTGCATTTAAACTTATTTTCATCGTCTTATCTACACGTGGATATAACAGACTAAAGATTTGTTTTACACGTCAATAATGTTCGTTATTTTTGTGTCTCTGTTGATGAAAGACAACTGTTGTTTACATATTTCTATCATGTAACTAGGTATCTTTGTATTTCGGTACCCGATAAGGTTTCATGCCCATTATCCCGTTTTCTATTCAACTTCATCATAGATGTGTTAATGGACTTAATTTTTATTTTATTTTTTATTTTTTGATTTTTGATTTTACAGCTTGATTCCACACCGTATTTTTGGTACAAGTATGGAATTTTCAGCGTGGATATCGGTAGCCCAAAATTCGCAGGCCGACCATAGATATCATGTGTGCGTCGGCGTGGGCTTGAACCCCGGACCATGTGCATGGTAGGCGAGGATCCTAAACACTGTGCCACCACCCTAAGTGACTTCAGCGACTCAGGGACTGACTTGCTACCAGGGAATAATCTCGTTGACTTAGAATATGCAGACGATATAGTCCTTCCTTGGCCTCACCAGTCAATGAAATCCACAACACTTGGTCTAAGCCACGTAGGAGGGTGTAGACTCGCAGGCTGGGGTCCTCGGGACGGTAAAAATCTATGGTTGGAAACAATTGGTGACATGGCTCAAAATCGTTCTCAGTGGCGCAGATGCATCCACTCCTTGTGACTTATGATCTCCAATGAAACTGTTTTGTTCTTCGTTATTACTCCTGTGTCTCACACTTCTGCTCACTGTTTGTATTATGCTTTTCTTGTACTTTCTTCTCTTGCTTCGCGTGCTACACGGAGTGTGGCGACTTGAACTGTCTCATATTTATTCAAAGTTCTATGTCGAAAACAGACAGACAGACAGACAGATAAGGTTTCAAGGCAGGTTACCTGTGTTGTAAAAATTACAGTAAGGTTTAAACTCTGTGTCCTCAGTATATGACTTTGAGGACGAATGTATCTGTAGGCAAATTAAATCCTACAGTGGTCGCTTACCAGTTTTATTGCTTATTAATTCTTGAAAAGGTTGCATTGTAACAACCCAGTGTGGATATATGCACCTAACAATGAGCCACACCAGCGTGTACATGTGCTGATTCTAAGGGATTGTTTGATGTCCCATTAAAGAAAAAGTACCGTAGTTCTAATATGCACTTCGCTAGTTGAGATCCAATCACCCAGACCTATGAATCATTTTACATTTGGTTTTCCAATGATTATTATTCCATCAGTGGTCTCAACTACTAGTGGGGATAAACAGGGTTACCCGATCTCCCCACTTCTGTTTAAATTTGCCATCAGTCACATTCTGGAGTCGGCTCTGGAGGATGTGCGTGATGGTGGTTGTGTGGATCTGCTAACCGAAAATACTTCGAATTCGAGTTTGCAAACGACATCGTCTTACTGTGCAGTAACATGCTGCAGGCTGTGCAAATCGTACTTAATCAATTGGTGGTCAATGCTTACAATAAGTATGTTATGTGCTTTTCTCCGTCTAAATGCGACTTATTGTTACAACACTGGGAGGAACCTGTACTTGCATTCACCCTTACAGTTGAACTGTAATGAGTAACCGATAAGTACATGTATGTAGATGGTTGTTTTAGTAACCATCACTTGTCGGGTTTACAATGCTTCGGTGCGCACAGCCTTGCCCTACATCTGTAAAATCTATCCTCCGAGCTGAGGATCAGTGGCGGCTCTGTGTATTGGATCGCCAATGCCTTTGCAGATTGGTTTGCATTCAGTAGTGTTATCATCCACAACTCAGCAGTGGATTCTGGTCTAAGTGAGAACATCGCTTATTGATAAGTAGATATATCCAGCTGGTTAAGGAAAGTAGTATAGAATCCTTTCTATGTTATTATTAAACCACTGAATATCTTTCCATATTTGTGCATCTCAAAAATTCATATTTATTTATATTGTAAACAGTTGTCAATCTCTTCAGCCGCCAACAGGATTAATGAACAAATTTTGAACCCTCCTCCTCCTCCTCCTATGGATGAAAATGTCCTATGGGGTCGTGTCACTCGAAACTCATCGGGAGATTTAAAATTTCCTGGCATAAATCGCACTTTTAAAAGTGTTTCTTCAGTCTTGAGACAAATTTATCAAACGGCTAAAGCTGAAGACAGTTTGTCTTTACAGGTAGGTTTTTCATAGTTTATATTGATTGATTTGTTGATATGAGTAGTCAATGTTTTCAGCCAAGTCATCACTAGTCTGTTCTTTACTCTCTTCTGTGGCCAGACAGTGACCGATGATGAACTGATGAATAGTTCCTAACTACCACATTGTATTTTTAACTTCAATAGGTACATAGTTTGAAAATTATCAACCTTGATTTCGAGTGATTCGTTAAGTGATGCGGATTATTGTGATGAAATCTCCTCTGGTATTAATCAGATATCTGTTGTAATCATCATTCCCTTGAGTTCCGAGTGAAATATAGGGCTTCAACAACACATCTGCACTTTATCCTGTTTCTCTGCCGTCCTCTTCAGCTTGGACCATGATTTCCCACAATCTCTCGTCTTCTCCTCTTACTCACACGATCTCCTCCATGTCACCGTAGCAATGACAACCCACTCGTCGCCGCTTCCCATTCGGGTTCCACTTGAGGAGTGGCCTGCATTGCGCGCGACGTCATTTGACTGTCTCCTCAACTTATTTATGCCCAATCCATATCCATTTTCCCCTACATATTTGTTGAGCGAGTGGCTCTTCGTTGGTTTGTTCCCAGCCATAATTTCTTGTTTCTAATTCTTCCTTGCCATTTGATCTTTAGTATGGAGTCAGTCAGCGAGGTGGTCAGTTGTTGATGAAAGTGTGAAACAGGCTGTTGGAAATCCTTTTCGTGACTACTCACGCGCAGTGCAAGTTTCTGATTCACATAGAAGAATTGACTGAGTGACTTCAGATTTGTGTTGGGTAGAATTCGAATCTTGTTGTTTATGCTTCTGATTGAGTGCAGAAGATCTTCGAATTGGTTTCAGATTGATGAGGGTGTATCTTGTTTTTCTGATCTTCTCTGGCTGGCTTTGACATCTTCACCCGTTCCGATTGGTTGTAGTGGAAACGATGCTGGCTGGTTAGATAAGTGGAGGAGGCCACCTCAGTTAAGTCTCTCTGGTTGATGGTGATTGGTGCTGCTTGTTGTTGATGTGGCGGTTGGTTGGTTATCTTCATCACCTTCGTCTACACCTTCTCTATATTCACCTGGAGTCCTGTCTTCGCTGTCTGTCTCACCTCTTGGGGCAGTTTGTTGGCTTTGCCTGCCTGGTTGCCTGTAAGTCTTCGAGTCTGTGTGACGTTCGACATATGTCATCCACGCGTGAAATCCAGATGTTCTAGAGTCTTCTTATCGGTGGTCCAGCGTATTCCTTTTTTCTCATTCCCCACGTCTAGCGTGATGCATAATGTAGTCCACCACAATTAAGAATATCACTGGTGATAATGGGCAGTCGGCTTGTCCTACTCCTGCATGCACTTCGAACGCCTCTCTGCGTCTTCCGTTTTGGATCACCTGACACGGGCCACTGTCATATTGTGTCAGCAAAAGGCAAGATATGGACGTCAAGGTATATTTTTCATTAATCAAACCGCTGTTTATACATGCATAGTTTATATTTGTTAACGAATCACTGAGCGTGTGATTTCGGTTTACATTGAACGAGATGAAAAGGAACGTTCAAATACACATATAGTATTCTGTTGCTAATGCAGTATTGTCCTGTGGGAATAGGTGAGAATAATATTCTGTTGAAATACATTGTCTGTATCCCACCACCACAGTATCATTATTTTGGACAGAGATATCTTCATATATGGATAAATCATGACTAACAAAGAAGCTGGTTTGTCCCAACATCTCTCTTCTTCAATGAGTTCTCGATTGGAGGACCACTGGATATTATACTGTGCAGGTATGTGTACTCTCCGTCTGTTACCTCCTCGATGAAATGGTATGGGATCATCGGTTTGTAACTGGAGGACAATGTAATCATCTCAATAATTGCTCGAACACATTTGTCCAGTAGGCTACATCATCAACTTCAATACTATCATCATTCAAGGCAGGAAGAGTAAACTTCTCTCATTCTTCGGGCTGTAACTGATGGAGAAAAACGACGTCGTGAAACTCTTCCTGTCAAATAGAATAGGAGCGCCTGTACGTATGTATGTAGAGAGAGAGGGAGAGAGGGGATTTTTGCATTCCGTGAAGACAGGAGAAATTAAAGTGGAATCGCCTACACTTTGACTGATCATATTTCCCGATTTTACACAAACTGTATCTCTTCACAGATAGAATTCGATGCATTATGAGAATCCAGATTCTCTATTCTCTTTGAAGAGAGAACATGTTCGTTCTTTCTCTCTTCAAACTAATAAAGGGAAACGGTTGTATGAAATCTCTATTCTCTGTTTGAATTTAGCTTCAATTTGCATGGTTTTATTCGAAGGCGAACTGTTCAAATAATGCCTCAATTAGTGATAAATGGTTGTGTACTTCTGTGGCTGACTGATGACTGACTGACTCGAGAACAGGATGAACAGTTTGAGTATGGAGATGGGATAGGATGGGATAGGGTGACTAGATGATTGGAAAGATTATCCCTTAGTGAGGATTTGGATGAGAGTTTAGCTTGTTGCAGGGCTTCATAGTGTTTTCGGCACTATTGTTGAAGTAACTGAATTTTGTGAAATTTGAGGTAGGTAGGTAGGTGATTGAACACTTGTAAAATTGACATGACTGGATATATTACTGAATTAATTGTACTAGAATTTGTGATCGTTTCCACTAAACTGAATAACGCCGTCGCGGAAGTTTTTTGTTGACAAAATAGCCGTCTAAGTTGAGTAAAATGTGTCTTCAGACACAACAGTTTTCGTTTGTAAGTGTACTGCTAATATCAATATTATATTTGTAATTATTCCTATTATTGTTACTTTCAGTTACCGTCATCGGCGATTCAATGTGAAAATGAGGCAAATATTCGATTAGAAAACTCACTACCCAATTCGCTACTTAATTCGACTTCAAGAAAAGTGAGTGAATAAAATAATTGTGGGTGTTCCACTGTTTTTCCCTTGAAAAGAATTGACTAACCTGATGGTGGATGGTGGAACGTCCGTGATTAAATGTGTAGTCTTAGAAGATATACCAGTGAGGAGGATGTAGTTGACTAACCTAAGCAATTGACTTCCAACCAATTGGGTGCCAGGTTCGACTACTGTTCCACGGTTATCAACAACCCTGTCACATACGATAAGTGTGTAACGGATTTCTAACAACAACAACAAGAAGAATCGAGAAAGCATACCGTTCTCAAGCTAGAAATCTCTACTGTTCAGAAATGTGTAATATACCGTTAAATGCTAGTGATGCACAGTATTGTGACCAGCTTCCCAAACTAGTGTTGCGCCCCTGGTTTACAAAGTTTCGCGGAGTCCACGTGGTTTCTTTGGAGTTTAAATTTAGTATTCTTCACGTCCTGTATCACCTCATTACCCCAAATAGAAAAGGTGTCCTAGTTGTTAGTAGTCATATTGGTGCGGTAAGTTGAATGGAGTAGTGTTATTATTATTATTCTTATTTTAAGTATTAATCATATTAATGTTTTTCGATTTTCACAGGGTTTATATATTTGCCTGTGTTGCCGATCGACATTTACAAGTAGTGCTTTGTATGAAGACCATCTGGATCGTGCCGTTGCTCGAATATTGTATCGTTGTCATATCTGTCGTGGTTCTTGGACGACTTCACGTGAGGCGGTCAGTATCGCTGATAATCATGAGAGCGAAACATGCTCACGGTTTTATTCTGTTCTACCGGGTGGAATTATCAGCGCTAATAATAAATGCGCTATATTTACTCACTTGGTATCTGCACACCCGGATAAAAGAAGTGATTGGATTCTACGACCATCACTTCTTACAATTTGTCCGTTGGTTATGCCAACCACATTTTTAAATTTAGCAGCACAGACCGCCTCCACTACTACTGATATCCAATCTTTTGATGTATCGAGTGAGTTGACTACTCATTTGTTGTTTGTTTTTCTTTTATGTGCTGTAACTTTATGCTGTGTATGTTTCTGTACTTTTGTTGTCTCCTATCACAGTTATAATACGTATGCATATGCATGCGTGTGTGTGTGTGTCTGTTTGTCTAAAAAGGTGTTTACAATGTTTTGCATAGACTGATTTGTTATGTAACCGATATCTATATAGGCTGCAGGCGGTGGCATTGAGTCTGATTAATAAGTGCTTTTCGAGGGAGGGCTTCGTGTGGGTGTTTACAACTACACTTATTTGGGAAGTTGTAACAGACAATGTTGTCAGCGGGTCGATCGCTGACGAAATCACGAGACGGATGCAGAAGGCTCGTTTCGCATATGCTGAGGTACGCTATCTCTGGCATAGACGTGATTTCCGGTTGGCTGTCGATCGAAGGACATGTGTACTGCTCAGCAGCCATTGAAATTGGAATACATGAAAAGCCTGGCTAGCTGTCTCTGATCATAGGTGCCTGCTTTCTGTCTCCCATGTTGGGTGGAATAATAGAGTGAGCAATATTGAGGTCAGGCATCGGTCGAGTGCTGTGTAAGAAGGAAGGGAAAATCAGTGAACGAGTTTGTGAAGTTACATCGATTGAGAGAGATGGTTAGGACATGTGTTACGCATGACTAACTTACCATTGCCTTCCTCGATAATAGGTAATGTTAACTGACATAGAATGGTGGATCAGGTTGGAGAAGAGCTAGGAGATGGTGGTCAAACCAAAACATGGCTGGCCTCATCAGTCAATGAAATCCACAACAGTTAGTTTAGGCCAGCCAGCCAGCGAGCCACGTAGGGAGGTGTAGAGTGCCTGTTTGTGGTCTTCGGGATGATGAGAATCAGCGATTGGAGACAATTAGTGATATGGCTCATAATCGTCTTCGGGTGATGGCTGGCGCAGATGCATTCACTCCTTGTGATTTATCATAAATATCATGACAAGATTCTATTGTTCTTCCGTATTACTAATCCTAATCCCCTCACTGACACTTCTGTTTATAATCTGTGTCTCTCTATTTTGAACCTCTCTGTGGTCTTTTGTCTTGGTTTGTGTGATACATGGAGTGTGATAACTCGATATTCTGCAGAGCTGTGCAAGGTTCTGTGTTGAAACGAGTGAGTCATTAATAAGTGATCGGTGAGATTGTGTATTTTGGTTAAAAATGACTCCCTTAGTTGTTTTCTTTAATGAACTTCAACAAGGCATGAATGACAAATGTACCATCAGGATACTATGAACTCATCTCTCATTATTTCCTTGGTGCTTCTCACACCGCTGGCTACAACCTGAACAATGCAGAAATATATAAATCGCAATAAAGATTTAAACATACTTTTTACACCAATGAGAAGAAGTAATTGGTGGGAACTTAATATTAACTAGTAGTCTGAAATGATGTAAGTTGTTATGTAATTAGGAGCGAAAAGGAGTGACTATATATGGTAAAATTGGATGACTCTGGTGTGTCGGTGGCACAATGGTAGAATGTTCGCCAACTGCGTATGTGTTCTGTTTTCGACATAGAGTTCAATCTTCGGCCACTGACTACGCACTCCTTTACTTCTCTAAACCGTTAATAAGACTGGTAAACGGGAAATGTGTAGGCGTGCATGGGGTTGGCTTGCAACCCTACCCGTAAAAATACATACCAACGAAATAGAATAAAATAAATACTACGGAAACTCCAGCCTCTGCCTTGAGGCCCTATGTTTCACTGGGGACTTAAAAAATGAAAAAAGTCTTGTAAAAAGTATTTTAAAAAAATCTTTATTGTAGCCAGTCGAAAAGGATTCGTGAAAAGATAAATAAATGTATTATTGTTCTATACCTACTGCTCACTGAATATGTAAAAGCGAATGGAGCTGGATTGGGCACACGTTGAGGAGGCCATCGTCGAATGACGTCGCATGTCAGACCTTCGAGTGGAAGGTGAGCGTAAAATGTAGGAGACCAGAGTCCCAAATGGGACTAAATGGTGTGTGCGTATGTGTGGGAGGTGGGTGGGTTCCACTGCTAGTCACCATCATTCATCAAATTACTTCAAATTCTTAACCAAGTTTGACAATACGAAATTTGTTAGTAATTATGACCATGTGAATGCCTGAAATCTACTATCCTATGCTTTCATGTCATTAATCCAAGGTTATGGTTAAATGCATAAGATGTTACATGACTGGAAATAATAATCAAGGGGAATCCCTAGGCCTAGGTGAAAGAAAACACACACATGGTTAACAACACCGGTACTTCTGATGAAAAGTAATAAGCGTATTCAGGACAATGAATACATCAGTACTAATATGAGTGATTTTGTATCATCCCACCGACCGTCTCCAACCACTGACCTTTATTAACGTCAAACGTTGACAGCGGAAACAGTAAAGACACGACTGGTTGTAGGTTAGATTACGGACTGACGTCAGTTGTAAGGCTATTGAAAACTAGTGTGTCAACTGTCCAAATCGGGCAAGATCCTGAACCTAGCACTGCTGGCAGAAAAACTAATCGCTGTCTCAGACTACTATGTACGGTAACCAACTCAATTATCAAAAAATATTGTGTATACCTACACCTGTCTGTAAGCAGCCTATATTTTGAAAGAAAACAACAATCCATGGTACTAAGGGAGTAATACTCTACCTTTATTTGTTGGTTGCAATTGTTGAGTAGTATTCATAATTGTTAATCCCTCTCTCTCTCTCTCTCTCTGTGTCTTTTGCATTTCTTGTCTTCATTCTCCAATGTCTTCCGCGATTGTTTGTGTTGTGTGTTGTCGTAGATGAGCAGCAAGCGCCTACACGTCTAACATCCAATCAACTTGTCAAAACTCATTTGATGAATGATTTATGTAAATCAAGAGTTTGGAGTGATCTTCAACATAGTCTTAGGTAAGTTTCATTCTGCACTTTCACTTTTCCTTCTGGTTTTATGAAATTTTTTGTGTTTTTAATTGTGCCAATACTGTGGTGGTGGGATACAGACAGTGTGTATTCCAACGGAATATTATTATTCTCACCTATTCCCACAGTACAATACTGCAGTAGCAAAAGAATACTTTGTGTGTATTTGAACATTCTATTTCATGTTGCTTAATGTAAACCAAAATCATAAGCTCAGTGATTGGTTAACCAATATAAACTGTAGATATATATAAACAGCGGTTTGATCAATTGAAAATACAGCATTACTTCCGTGCCTTGCCTCCTACTGTTTTAGTACCAGTCAATGAATGAATACATCGATTATTAATCACGTTGATAAATTTAGAAAATTGTCAACTGTCACTCCTGATTTCTCTAGGCTATTTAACAACAGCTCCACTAATAATCATGACCAGGACTGAAAGGTCTGTGATATTATTATTATTATTCCCTTGGGTTCCGAGTGGAACACACGGCTTGAACAAATACATCTCCACTTTGTCCTATCTTCTGCCGTCCTCTTCAGCTTGGACCATGATTTCCCACAATCTCTCGTCTTCTCCTCTTACTCACACGATCTCCTCCATGTCACCGTAGCAATGACAACCCACTGGTCGCCGCTTCCCATTCGGGTTCCACTTGAGGAGTGGCCTGCATTGCGCGCGACGTCATTTGACTGTCTCCTCAACTTATTTATGCCCAATCCATATCCATTTTCCCCTACATATTTGTTGAGCGAGTGGCTCTTCGTTGGTTTGTTCCCAGCCATAATTTCTTGTTTCTAGTTCTTCCTTGCGAGCTCCGAATTCAATGAGGAGCGAAAGCTGCACAAGAGGAAACTTACGAAAAGTCTCCGGAATGACCGTGAACAGTGGTGGGCGACAAAAGCCAAAGAGATGGAGAAAGCTTTGAGGATAGGCAACACCAGGCAACTCTTTGGACTCATCAGGGAAACGGGTGGGAGAAGACAAATCATTAGTGAGACAATCTCGGAAAAAAGTGGCACTATAATTAGCTCACAGGATAGAAGACTGAATCGTTGGAAAGAGCATTATGAGGAGCAGTTTAATTTGCCCACAGCCACGCTCAACCTTCCGAGCATCCAACACCTCCCTGAATGGGATATAGACACAGGTCCTCCGTCCCTAACTGAGGTTACTAAAGCTGTCACCAATCTGAAACTAGGCAAAGCAGCGGGACCTGATGGAATGACGCCAGAGGTATTTAAGTACGGTGGAGACAGCTTATTGTCTGGATTAACTGAGGTACTAGGCAGCGTCTGGGAATCAGAAGAAGTCCCATCGGGTTGGTGTAAGTCACTGATTATCCCCATATACAAGAAGGGAGACAAGTCTTCCTGTGATAATCACAGAGGGATTAGCTTGACTAATATAGTATCTAAAGTCTTAGGCTCAATAATCATGCGTAGACTGAGTGGTGCTCGGGAAGCACAAACACGAGAGAGACGGGCAGGCTTTAGACCAGGAAGAGGGTGTATTGATCACATCTTCACCCTCCGACAGATTCTAGAACATAGGCATTCCTACCGGCGTCCAACAGTCATTATATTTCTTGACCTAAAGGCAGCATTCGACTCTGTCGATCGGGAAGTTCTCTGGAGATGCTTGGCTGTAAAGGGAATTCCAAGAGAATATATTGCACTGATTAAGGCACTCTACTCTAACTCATACAGTCAGGTGAGGGCTTATGGCGAGCTGTCATCTGAACTGATGACGACCAGTGGTGTCCGTCAAGGATGCCCATTATCTCCTTTTCTTTTCAACTTCGTCATAGATGTGTTAATGGACTTAACCTTAGGTGACTTCAGCGACTCAGGGATTGACTTGCTACCGGGGAATAATCTCGTTGACTTGGAATATGCAGACGATATAGTCCTTCTGGGCGAAGACGCTGACGAAATGCAGAGTCTTCTAAACACCTTGAGCAGCAATCTACGAATGTTTGGCATGCGATTCGCTCCCGCCAAATGCAAGATGATGTTACAGGACTGGACTACATCGACGCCTAGTTTAAAAATAGGAAGTGAAGTGGTAGAGCACGTTGACCGCTTCACTTATTTGGGAAGTACCATCAGCCCCAACGGGCTGATCTCTGACGAAATCTCAGCACGAATACAAGGGGCTCGTTTCGCATTTTCCAGTTTACGCCGACTCTGGCGTAGACGAGATGTTCGACTATCGACCAAAGGGCGGGTGTACTGCTCATCAGTCCGCTCCGTCCTCCTTTATGGTTGTGAGACCTGGCCACTGAAAGTTGAAGACATGAAAAGGCTAGCTGTCTTTGATCATAGGTGCCTGCGCTCTATTTCCCGTGTAAAGTGGCATAATAAGGTGAGCAACATTGAAGTTAGGTGTCGAGTGCTAGGTAAAGAGGGGAAATCAATCGACGAAGTCGTGAAGTTACGAAGACTGAGATGGTTAGGACATGTGTTACGTATGCCAAGCCATCACCTCCCTCGACGAGCAATGTTAGCGGATATAGGGTCAGGCTGGAAAAAAGCTAGCGGCGGTCAAACAAAAACTTGGCCTCACCAGTCAATGAAATCCACAACAGTTGGTCTAAGCCACGTAGGAAGGTGTAGACTGGCTTACTGGTTGGGGTCCTCGGGACGGTAAAAATCTATGGTTGGAAACAATTGGTGACATGGCTCAAAATCGTTCTCAATGGCGCAGATGCATCCACTCCCTGTGACTAATAATCTTCAATGAAACTGTTTTGTATTTCTTTATTACTCCTTTGTCTCACACCTCTGCTCACTGTTTCTATTATGCTTTTCTTGTACTTTCTTCTCTTGCTTCGCGTGCTACACGGAGTGTGGCGACTTGAACTGCCGCACATTTGTGCAAAGTTCTATGTCGAAAACAGACAGACAGACAGACAGCTGGTGCGCCTAGTCAGTCAGTCAGTCGCGCTAAAATCACGATTTGGTAGAAATCGGTCAGTATTCATGGGTGGTTGGCCATTGAGTGTGTTGGGTCTACAAGTTTACCTTGTAACCGGAAGGTCCTTGGCCCTAACCCTAGCAGTGCAGTCGGGTGCATACTGCTGGTGAGTAGTCCCAGACTGAACTAGGCTGACGAAACAGCTGTGTCCAGTACCAGTACTCCTGATTTGTTTCCAATGGTTCTTTCTGTAAGTGATATCAGTCGGTGATGGTGGATCTTGAGAGAAGCATGAATGGTGGAGGAGGAGGAGGAGTATGTTGCTTCAGTCGGAACACTTCTGTATTTAATTAATTAATCAATTAATTAATTTTTGTTTGTTTGTTAACTTTTCAACACAGTCCCATCTTCTACTCCTCCAGCTGGACCTAAAAACAATAACCCTAATTTGTTGTCGTTGTTGAATAATAATAATAATAATAACCCAACCACTACTGGATCCGCTTCAACAGCACCACGGACGACAACGACGTCATCATCATCGTCGTTGACGTCTAGATCAGGTGAATGTGATCGTGAAGAGAATGCCAAGAAGAACAGCAGCAGTGGCGGCGGTAATCGTGTGGGTGTTGTTCTCGGAAAGATATTCCTTTGTAAACTTTGTAATAAGGTTTATAAGTCACGACGTAGTTTATTAATACATAAAATTTCACATCATGGACAGGCGGATAGTCAGGCAGAGGCGGGCAGGCAAACTGAGTGATTGATTGGTTGGTTGGTTGATTGACACATTGACTCATACCGTCTTTCTCTATTGTATGTCTATTACTGTCTTATTCACAGTTGTTATGTATACATTACATATATATGTATATATACAGTTTGTACAGGCACACAGATATAAATGTATGCGTTTATTTTCACGATGCATTTGTTATATATACATAGTTTTTTAACGATTATAATTGTACATACACACATACATCCAGGAACCCGAAATTCAGATTTATTCATTATTATTATTACTAATACTTATTGGTTAGATTTCAATTATAAAATTTGAATAAAGCGTTATTGTTGTTGTTGTTTTTGTTAGTCTTGGCTTCAACTTCGTCTCTTCTAAAAGAGAGAGAGAGACAAAGTGATAAGAAATAGTGAATAGTGGAAAACCGGTGTTGGTTGAAAAGTCTCTGATCCATTGATACATGCACGTTCTTTCATTTATTCAGATTACAGGTTAATTTCAACATGGATGATTTCTTCACAGTCTAACAACATTTAGAAAGAATCGCTAGAAGGCCTACAGAACAAAGCATAGATGACTGGCTTTTGGGACTTTTCACTAGTAATAATTAATATGATTGTGACCTGACCAACGATGAGCTCCACGATCTTGAAGATAATTCAGAGGTCCGGTTGTTGATCATTCTGCAACCAGTAGTTGTCTATGTTACCTCCTCGATGAACTGGTATGAGATCATCGGTTTGTAACTGGAGGACAATGTAATCATCTCAATAATTGCTCGAACACATTTGTCCAGTAGGCTACATCATCAACTTCAATACTATCATCATTCAAGGCAGGAAGGGTAGACTTCTCTCATTCTTCGGGCTGTGACGACGTCGTGAAACTCTTCCTGTCAAATAGAATAGGAGCGCCTGTATGTATGTAGAGAGAGAGGATTCTTTGCATTCCGTAAAGACAGGAGAAATTAAAGTGGAATTGCCTACACTTTGACTGATCATATTTACCGATTTTACACAAATTGTATCTCTTCAGAGATAGAATTCGATGCATTATGGGAATCCAGATTCTCTATTCTCTGTTTGATTTTTAACTCCAATTTGCATGGTTTTATTTGAAGGGGAACTGTTCAAATAATGCCTCAATTAGTGACAAATGGTTGTGTACTTCTGTGGCTGACTGACTGACTGACTGACCCGAGAAGAGGATGAACAGTTTGAGTATGGAGTATGCCCAATCCATATCCATTTTCCCCTACATATTTGTTGAGCGAGTGGCTCTTCGTTGGTTTGTTCCCAGCCATAATTTCTTGTTTCTAATTCTTCCTGGCCATTTGATCTTTAGTATGGAGTCAGTCAGCGAGGTGGTCAGTTGTTGATTAAAGTGTGAAACAGGCTGTTGGAAATCCTTTTCGTGACTACTCACGCGCAGTGCAAGTTTCTGATTCACATAGAAGAATTGACTGAGTGACTTCAGATTTGTGTTGGGTAGAATTCGAATCTTGTTGTTTATGCTTCTGATTGAGTGCAGAAGATCTTCGAATTGGTTTCAGATTGATGAGGGTGTATCTTGTTTTTCTGATCTTCTCTGGCCTATTTTGACATCTTCACCCGTTCCGATTGGTTGTAGTGGAAACGATGCTGGCTGGTTAGATAAGTGGAGGAGGCTACCTCAGTTAAGTCTCTCTGGTTGATGGTGATTGGTGCTGGTTGTTGTTGCCAGTATCAGGGTGTCAATTCACACTTGAAACACGCCGCGCTCTAAGTCATTTACTGAAAAGATGGCTTAGCCCTGTATATTTGGTTTATAAAGACGATTGTTGTTTGCGACAGCAACTGTTCAATCGCCTACTTTCAATAAGAAATGAATTGGAAGTGTGTGTGTGTATGTGTGTGGCTAGTCAATACTTCCTGGCTTCTCACATCATGGATATAGATTTCTTCTTGAGATAATTGAAACAGAATGAGCACTAGTGTTGTGTTACCCCAGAGCTGAGGAAACGAACTACTTGAGACTGATCATACACGGCCCGTGTGAAGTGGTTTTTGGAGTTACATGCGCAAGATAGATAAATCGGGATATGGAATTTTCGGGATCGAAATTTCCTTACGCCCGTTCTCCATAGCAGGGAGGCAGTATAGCTAGCTAGCTAGCTTGCTGGTCATTTGAGGAAAAGACGCTACTCTTGTTACATATCCATTCGACGTCAGTATAACTTCGGCCAGAAACTCCGGATATAGTGTGGACAACTTATATTATAACGTCAGTGCTTTTAGTCTGATTGCTAGCCGAATTACCTTTCTGGCATAGTAGGACATTGCAGGAACATTAGTTCCAGCTAGTAGTAGTGGGTCATTGGCATCTGGAACTACGAACCACCACATTAAGATGTGGGAGCTATCGGTCGATATTACTGAAAACCTCACGACTGTTATTTGCCTTTGCATATTATTCTTGATGCTATTGGTAATTACTATGCATAGAAATAGTCTACCTCATTTGGATTGTCTTGACAATTATTTTTCTTTTTATTGTCCTATTTTAGCAATATATCTGCCCTCGGGAGTCTCGACTTTCTCCAGCCATCATCATCAGCGTCATCTCTCTGTAAACAAGTTTCCTCCAATCGTGTAGGCAGATTAACTCGAACATGTAACGACATTGTTGTCGAGAGGTTCTCTTCTTTAAAGCGTATTTTCACTCCGAGTAGCAACAACAGTGAAAGCAATTTACCTAGCCTGCCTTGTTCAGATAGTGTCTTATATCGTTTAATTCTGAATTCTGCCACTAGCGAAATTTGGCATTCACACCTTTTTCTACCGGAATGGTGTAGTGATGAAATCAGAACAATTGGTACTCCTGCTAGAACAACAGCGACAGCGACAGCAACAACAAAAACAGTAAATCGTCAAGATGAAAATAATCCGGTTACTATTCAAACTAATAATAATAATGATGATGATAATGATGACAATGTGGAAAATGGTCAAACCAATTACTGTGATAACAGTGTGAATGTTGGCGATAGTTACAGTGCAATGAGTAGAAGTAAGCATACTGATGAAGTTAATTTGTTAGGAAATTTTTCCAAAGTATTTTATCCTTTTGCATTCTGAGTGGAACGAATATAGGGCGTCAAGCCTAATGTTTGAAGTTTCAGTAGCATTATTTATTGGTGTTGGTCTTATTATACCGGGTGGTGGTGGTGGTGGTGGGGGGTTATCAGCCTTACGTCCAAGCCTTCCTCTTTGTCCCGTTTGCAAACCGGCTAGTGGGGGTGGGGGTGGGCGAGGTGAAGGTGTTCGGGGATCGAACCTCGGGTCACGTGGATGGTCGGTGGTTGATGAGCATTTTATCGTCGAACCACCAAGGCTGTATGTCCGAAGAGAAAACGTTTATCTAGAGAAAAAACACGTATTTCCCGTAAATTCTCATCTGGGTGTACATTTACATAATGATGAAATATTAGTCATAGGCATTTGAATGATGAATGTAGTTAATAAAATACAAGATCAGGGTTCAGGAATGTGAATTAATAGATAACAAACGAGGTGATCACAATAGGAATAATCATAAGCATAATAACAAGGATAAATTCATTCAAGTGTCCATATAATCTAGATAATGGTGAGTGTACAGGTAGAATGTGCATGTTAGTAGGTGTAGAGGGGAGGATGACTTTTGTCATATAGCGATTAGATAATGCAGTAATAATAATAATAATAACGATAAATTGTGAAACCGAAATTAGAATGCACAACTACAGCACACCATGATATTGATAATACAGTTAGCAGTACAAATAAATATCAGACAATATTTAAAGTTATCCGGTGTCACTGGGAGAGATAACTATTTCAAGTTGGCGGTGAACGCCGAGGGAAGCACAGAGATTAAACAAACTTTCTCTGATTAATATATGTGTAAAACTTGGGCACTGTGGTATTAAGTAATTCCATATTAGTTTGATTATTAAATGTATCACACAGTGAAACAGTATTGTATACTGGATGACGTTTCGAACACAATTTATTGTTCATAATCATATCAATTTTTGTCACACGACTTCGAGATTTGATTTTTATAGTTTTCTCTGTCTTCTCCTATTTGTTGTATGGGCAGTAGAATTTTCCATATATCTGGGACAGGTGTTGAATCATTCCTATTACATGTACTTGCGGTTGATTCGATAAACAAAGCTTCTGTTATCAATCTCTCCCTATACCCTGTGACATTAGATTTTAAAACTGTCATCCTATCCCATCCTATTGTATGGTTGTGTGTAACTGCATGTAGTGCTATAGCTGAACTACTCTCTAGATTTCTTATCTTATTCGGGTCAACCAATCTAGATTTAGCTAGGTTTTTATGTTCGGCTAGTCTGACTGCCCCTGTTCTACTAGTTTGACCTATGTATTTGACCTCACAATCATTGCAGGGTATTAGATAAACTAAATTGTTTTGTTTTAATGGCTCTACAGGATCCTTTAATCGACAAAGCTTGTTTCTAATTGAGTTTGTGGGTTTGAATGCCACTTTTATTCCTGCCTTGTTAAGAATTCTGCGTAAGGCTTCCGAGGTTCCTTCTTTGTATGGAATTATTGTTGATGATTTACATTCCTTATTGTTGGTGTCGTTATTAATATTATTATTATTATCACTATTATTATTACCATTATTATTATTATTGTTATCATTATTATTATTATTATTATCACTATCTCTGTTATCCTTCTTTATTTTATTTTTACATTTACTTACATATTTCTTGACTAATTTATCCGGGTAATTATTAAGTTTCAAGGCTTCTTTTATGTGTGTCACTTCCTGTCTTAGATTTTCCTTGGTACTACTTAGTTTTTGTGCTCTGTCATTTAAACATTTCACTAATCCTATTTTTACTGACATAGGATGGGATGATCGGAAACAGATATTTGGATTTCCGATCATCCCATCTTATGTCAGTAAAAATAGGATTAGTGAAATGTTTAAATGACAGAGCACAAAAACTAAGTAGTACCAAGGAAAATCTAAGACAGGAAGTGACACACATAAAAGAAGCCTTGAAACTTAATAATTACCCGGATAAATTAGTCAAGAAATATGTAAGTAAATGTAAAAATAAAATAAAGAAGGATAACAGAGATAGTGATAATAATAATAATAATAATGATAACAATAATAATAATAATGGTAATAATAATAGTGATAATAATAATAATATTAATAACGACACCAACAATAAGGAATGTAAATCATCAACAATAATTCCATACAAAGAAGGAACCTCGGAAGCCTTACGCAGAATTCTTAACAAGGCAGGAATAAAAGTGGCATTCAAACCCACAAACTCAATTAGAAACAAGCTTTGTCGATTAAAGGATCCTGTAGAGCCATTAAAACAAAACAATTTAGTTTATCTAATACCCTGCAATGATTGTGAGGTCAAATACATAGGTCAAACTAGTAGAACAGGGGCAGTCAGACTAGCCGAACATAAAAAACCTAGCTAAATCTAGATTGGTTGACCCGAATAAGATAAGAAATCTAGAGAGTAGTTCAGCTATAGCACTACATGCAGTTACACACAACCATACAATAGGATGGGATAGGATGACAGTTTTAAAATCTAATGTCACAGGGTATAGGGAGAGATTGATAACAGAAGCTTTGTTTATCGAATCAACCGCAAGTACATGTAATAGGAATGATTCAACACCTGTCCCAGATATATGGAAAATTCTACTGCCCATACAACAAATAGGAGAAGACAGAGAAAACTATAAAAATCAAATCTCGAAGTCGTGTGACAAAAATTGATATGATTATGAACAATAAATTGTGTTCGAAACGTCATCCAGTATACAATACTGTTTCACTGTGTGATACATTTAATAATCAAACTAATATGGAAACTTTCTCTGAACACAGAGATTGGGTTGAAAAATCCTTATGGCAGCTGCCACAACTAGGCTTAGCAACCGAAGAGTACAAGACTAAGGAGTTGAAGTGGCACCTTATATAGAATTGTAAAAGCTGAATTTTTGTCGGTCTTGTGCTCCATATGCACTAAGTGTGTCAGTGCGGAAATTCCGATTGACTTTACGACTCCTTTGCTTGTTGGTCAATGCTCTGAAAGGCCAACGGTGGGCTTTCCTAGTCGTTCAACCTATGTAACTGTCTCCAGGAGAGTAGTTAAATTTATAAATGCACTTTGAAGTGTCCGGGCTTGGTATTTGATGCTTCACCTGCATTGGAATTATACACCCAGTGGCGAATTTTGAATACAGTGTTGAGGCAAGCAGTGTTTTAGCTATTCGTTTAAGTTATCTAAAAAGGTGTAGCTTTACTTTCTCAAATGAGTTCCTTCGTTATTATTATCAGTGATTTCAGTGTGTGTGTGTGTGTGTGTTGAGCAGTTTGACAGTGCTCTTTCACATCCTGTGAGACTTGTTCGTTGAAGATTGACGGATATTAAAGAGAAAAAGAGATTAGCAGCCTTTTGACCCCATTGGTGTTAAGTGTATACTGTTGTCAATAATAATAATAATAATAATAATAATAATAATAATAATAATAATAATAATAATAATAATAAGGGCAGGCATGTAGAATATTATTAGAGAAAAAAGGGAAAGTAGTCACTGGATGGATGGGCTTGTGATGCTGGGGATCGTCGATTGAGATGGCTAAGACACATACGTCACAAATGCTGAGCAGCTGTCTTTCCTTCCTCGTTAAACAATGTTATAACTGATATAGAATTGATTGAATTAGACAAGAAAAAGAGTTAGCTAAGATTGTGAGTGAATTGTACAACACTGCTACTCTGTATGGGAGTGGTTGACGTAAAAGTTGATTCAATAGTGACTGAGCATAGTAACCACTGTGTGTGTGTGTGTGTATCACAATTCATAGGTGGTATAGCTGTGTTGTGCCGCTTATTGTTTTGTGGGCATGAATTTAAAACCTTTTTTGCAACATGGAAGTAGTGATTGATTGTGTGATATCGTTTGAGAACTATGTTGGTTTTCGTGTTGTGCCAAAATTGATGTCATTCGAATAACTTCCTTCTAAATTGTGTTGAGTGGTAGGAATTCAGGCCACACCAAACTAAGGACTAGATGCATAACGGTAATTACTACCCAGTGTCCAATCAAAATATCCACTGAAGTTCTACAGTAGTAGGTCAATCAGTCACGAGCCTGATTAGCTTAGTTTTAATGTCTCTCACTGCCTCACCACTGAATGGATGGTGGTGGCCCGGATTCGAATCACAGAAGGAGGGAGGATATGAACTCCTGCAAGATTGCAGATACACATACACCTTGCTCTGACGAGTGACGATAAACACGAAATCTAGGTCCAGAGTATCTCACCGATTGCATCCACAACCATCTAATAAGAATTCAGAGTCCAACGTTAGGAAATCACATCTAGCCATGATGATGGCCACATTGCACACTTGACTGATAGAATTCAATCTACACCCTGAAAAAGAATGGAATAAACGTATAACATTAGTTAAATGCCTGGTAGTGTCCAATGGAAATATAACTCCAATAAGCTTGTCTCTTGTTTTTTGCTTTTCTCCCTTGTCTAATTTTTCTCTGTCATAGAAGTTAGCGACACCTGTCTACCTCCATCCGCTCCATCCAATGCTCATCTGAATTTGGCTTTAAACGCGATACTGTCTTCGTATCGTTCACCACAGTCTTCAACTCCATCGTCGTCATCATCAGGAACAACAGCATTGGTTCAATCGTCTGATTCAATCAACCGACGAGGTGATCTCGAAAATTCTGATAATACGCCAATACAAGCGACTAGTAAACATGTAATGGTCACCTCGTCAAGTGATCAACCACCATCGTCATCATTATCGCAACAACAACAACAACCATTCGGTGTGTTACGTTGTCTCTTATGCAAATTTAAAACAAATGATAAACAAAGGCTTAAAATGCATCTTATGGGTAGTGGTCGAACTGTAGTCAATACAAAATGTGGCCTATGTGGTCAGCTATTAAGTATAGAACAACCAAATTTATGTTTGATTAAGGCTCATATACTGTTACACTTGGGATGTCATATAATGTGTCCTCAGTGTGGATTTACGGTGAGTTATAGTTTACTGTTGTTGCTTTTTGTGTGTGTTCCACCCTCGTAGAAATCGGAGGTATGTGTGTAAGTGCTGGAATCAATCATGACTAATTAAGAAATTGTTTTCCACTCCTTTACGTTCCTAGTGGAAAATAGGGCTAGGAGCTTGAAATGTGTTTATTTTTACGGGACAGGGTTGCTAGCCAGCCTCATGCCCCCAATCCCGTACCTTTTCTCTGTATCAATGTTATTACTGGCTTAGAGAGGTAAAGGAGTGCGTCTTCGGCGGCCGCGGATTGAACTCGAAGCCACATTCGTGGATGACGAGCATTCTACTGGTGTTCCACCGACGCTCAGAATTGAGAAATGGCGAAACTATGAAAATCGAGTGATCCAAGTGAATGGTTGCAGTGTGCTAATCACATTTTGCGTAGGTTACTATGGCAGTTAGTTATACAGAAGAATTCGAATTCAGGATTTAGGAAGAAAGTTTTCATATGAACAAATACACTAAGTGATAATCCGCAACTCGAGCTGCTGCACATCTGTGCTGAGTTCCACGTGGAAACCAGTTGTCAGTTTGGGAATTGGCAGCACGCACCCACAGGGTTTCGAACCCCCTCCCCCTACCTTCCGGTTACAAGGAATTTTGTATACCATTCAATCACAGGGGCGCAATTCAATGGCCCATGACTTCTTACCTTTTATATTTTAAGAAACGTTGGTTTGGATAGGGACGCCGAGCTATTGGTAAACACGTTGACCACGAATATCGCTTGTCCACGCCAACGGCGTACACCACAGCTACCAGATTTCCAAGCCGCTACTTACACGAGAACACACAAGAGGTGAGACGCAGAAGTGTGTTTACAAAAGGAATTAATGACATATGCAGGGTAATGAAGAAACACAAAATGTACACATGAGCCAGTTACGTAGGCATGAGAAAAGGATAATCCGTTGACTATCTGCCTATCCAGCCACCTGCCTGTACGACAACTGATAGGTTTATTTCCAGACTGGACATTGATCACCATATCACTTATTCACTACTGTGTTTGAATGTGAGACTGGCTACGAAACATTTTCAATAGGGCCAGAAATCGGCAAAGTGACATATTTCTGTGGAACCATTTCATGTACAGTGTTGAATTTTGTCATATAGACGCGTAAATAGGAGGATACATCAGTCACTCGATAATGATGTTTTAGAAATGCATTCATGGACTGATTTAGCTGGGTCTTGTGTTTTATCGCGCCGCCAAATATGAATACGATTGTCAACTGACGATAATGAATGAATGGTCCTAGTCGATTATTCCCTGACCCGAATCACGTAAATTCCAGAAGACTCACACAGTAGGGGTGTGGGGTGTGGAAACGTGTATTTCCAAAACAAACGAGTGTGTGTCAGATATATATATATATATATATATATATAGAGAGAGAGTGATCAAGTGGACAAAAATATATACGGCACATATTGACCCGGTCACAAGGCTCAAACGGTGGGCGTTAACTGACACTGCGTTCTGGATTGTGACTGGCTGGTTGACTGACTGTCGTTTATCATGTGACAGCGCGTGATTTGTTGTTTTCTGACTGGTAGACGATTGAGACAAATTGTGTCGGTAAATGTTGCACTGTGTGTGCACAAATTCCATAGATTTTTCCGATGACATAGTTCTGTTCTTATATGAATATGTGATATGAACCATATAGACACTGAGCTGAGGATTTTCAAAATGAACTTAGTAACTGTGTTGTATGCATAACTGTCCTGAAAGTGTGAATGAGTTTTGTTGTTGTTGTTGTTGTTGTTTTGAGATATGAATATTGCTCTTCAGGTGTGTGAATACATTCCATGCATGGTGTTGTAATGTGTGTGTATAACTTTTCATTGGTGGTTGGAAATATGTACATGTATTACGGATTAACTATTAATTTTCTGATTGCTAATGAACGAAACTTCAACAACAATAGAATATGTGTGTATTAAGGGGAATTAATTGATCGATCGATCTAGCGCTCCTGTGGTGTGTACTACTGACAAGATTTATCAGAAGTGTGTATACAGAGACGTTGATTGGCACAAAAATATCAAACAGTGGAGAGATGGATTTGACGTCAAAGTGAGCAAATGAATCAGTGTATAGTTGGAAAACATTGGAGATACAAAAGGAAGGCAAAGAGACACATTACCGGGAGGTGGAGGGAGACAGAACTAGCGCAACACGGAAGACTTGTGGAAATGACGATGTACAGATAAAGTGTACATCATTTCCCTATATATATCCATTAAAATGTACTTGTTATGATGTGGTGACTTTATTGTGCAATACCACCGAGGTCGAAGTAGGATATATAGACACCAATGCGCTTGACTTAGACGCACACGCTGACCACGAATACAGCTTGATTACGCTGACAACACTCTGTACGACAGTTATCTGTTTCCCTCCAGCCTGTTTTACTTAAGCCAGAACACACCACGATATGAGATGTGGAGAGTATATCTTTTACAGTAGTGGTTGTAGTAGTTAAATCTCAACTACCCAGTAGTACTAGGTTACAAGCCATTCTTATTGTGTAGGGGCTTGTGGTATTACCCAGTTAGTTGGCCAGGCTGAAGTAGGTGGAGCGCAGGACTCAACCCCGGGGGCTGATTAGCTGTAAGTTGAGTACTTAAGTCAATGTGCCACATCTGCAAATATGTATTGAACGGTATCGGTATCTGTATAAGTTTAAGCGCAAGCGCGTGCCAATTAAAAGAATGATATATGCACGCATGTGTGTGACCAAGGGCGTTGCATGAATGAAGATAGATAGTCGTAAAAGGATAAAAAAAAAAAAAAAAAAAAAAAAAAAAAAATTACCTGACGCAGTCCATATCTTCTGTGAGTTAGATTATCCCTGCTGTTGACTTCAACCCAATCTAACCAAAAACATGTGTCATGTCTGAGTACAAACCACTTCTCTCTGTTACACATTGCCTTGTTTTGATCAAAGCGCAATGAGAATTGAACTAAAATTTATAATTTGTATACAATGGGATATATTAATGTTTTTTGCAAGAGTTGGTTTGTATGGATTTCGCTTGTTTTCAAAGTTCGCCCATGGATTGATTTCAGTCAGAGACAAAGAGAGAGAGAGAACCTTTGGAAACCATCAAGGAGTACTTGTACTGGACAGTCAGTTGTTTCGTCAGCCTAGTTAGTTTGTGTCTCAATAATGGCCAACCCAACGAATTCTTGATTTTGTCGCGACAGTCAGGCACCAGCTAATGTCATCGTTATGCAATAATACTCTGTGAGAGATAGGTGGAGAAACAGACGATATATCTGTATGTATATATTAACATAAATTGATTTAACTTTGTGTACTTAAAAGAAAGAGAAGATTTTCCGCATATTACTTTCTCCTCTAAAAAAAAATCTTTCGTTTTTCCTCAAGCCTCCAGCACATTTATCGCCTGATTGTGCGGAGTTGTGCTTACGTGCACATCTTCGCTTTGTATGCTATCACTTTAATTTGAGAGAAATCTTTCAATGTTGTTATTGTCATGAAATGGGTAACAAAAAAGGCTATAAGGCGTTTGAAAATCTATGCCAACATTATTTTGAATGTCATACAAGGCGGATTTATTCATGTTTACTTTGTGTACAACACCAGAAACAATTGCAATCTATTGTTGGTATAAGTATCGATAATAGTCCGCAGCAGCAGCAGCAGCAGAGTACAAGTTTCACCATTGAAACATCTTCATTTGAAGAATTAACAAATCATATGAGAGTTATTCATGGTGCTAATACGCCGCCTGGTGCTATGAATTCTTCGACTTCTACTGTTCATCCAATTTCTGGATTTTAAGTGAATCTCAGACGGTGTTATTGCCACCCTCATTAGTAAACATGAATGGGCCACCGGTGGTCCATGGAAATGGTAATTATAATTCCAGTGTGATGAGTGAGAATGCAGATTACTCCACAAGATATCAGTGCATAGAGTGTTTGAGAGTTCTTGATACAAGAGAGGAGTATTTCCGACACTTCAGTGTAAGTGGTGAACACTTTTATATTGTAATGTGTCTCTGTGTACGTGTATGTGTGTGTGTGTGTGTTGGTTATCGTTTCATTTCATTATATGCAGTATATATGAATATGTATATGTGTTTATGCATATTTGTTACGTAATAAATTCTTGACTGGTCTTGTGCATGACAGAGTTCCTCGTTGTTTATTCCTTCTGGCCAGTAGTTATCCAGTTTGTCTGTCTATCTAACCCAGCGGAGAAGACATGTGTTGACGAAAGTGTCTGTGGCCTATTTGATGGGATTGGTTTTGATAACGTGCGCGTGCCAATTCCCTGAAGTACGTGGAGGCGCATGGACCTGACACACTAGTGTTATAAAAGTGTGAGGTTTTTCCTGATTACTTTAATATGCACAGTGATTTCAGAGTAGTGATCGACTGTCTTGCTCTCCCCAATGTATAACCGTGGCTTTGTTTGTTATCACCATTTATAGTACCACTGGGTTGAAACAATGACGCCCACCCAGGTGAGGTGATGACGCTAAAATTATAGAGGGGATACGCAATAAAGCGATTTCGGATATTGAGCAGCAGCACAGTTAGCTACAGCGTACATGAATGTAGTCTTTCAGTTATTAGGCGAAAATCAATGATTGTGGGACAGTTGATCATTGAAATATATAACAGAACAATTTTCAAGTATTGGTTTGTGGGTTTTTTTGTTTAATTGGTTGGAGGACTTCATCATAAGCCTGCATCGGTTAGGGAACCATTGGAAAACCAGCTGGGAGTACTGGACAGTTGTTTAGTCAGCCTAGTTTGGGACTCGTCGGTAGTAAACACCCACTGCCAGGGGTCGAACCCAGGACCTTCTGGTCACAGTATAGACTTATAAATGAATTGTTGTTTTGTACATTTCATTCAAAATTCTCTAGTGAGACTAGTGACCACACACACACACACACACACACTGACTCTATGGGAAGGATTCTTGAGCGGTTGCCATCCACATACACATGGATATAAACGTGAATTCGTTTCTTGTCAAAATCCGTGGATGACAGTTACCATAATGACATGACCCTGATACCAGTGTGGAGGAAAGGCAGTGAACGGGTGGATTGAGGGGGGTGCTACGCGAAACTTTGAAGGGAAGCTAATAAAGAAATTGATAGAAATCGGCTTAAAGTTGTGATCATCCTTATGATTATTCATCGTGTGAGATCGGATAACTGTAAAATGTTATCATCTTTTTTACCTTGACACTGTAGTTCAATAGTCGATCAATCAGAATGTTCATATTTTACGGCCCTAGCCAAATCGTCTACCAATTAGAAGAGTCTATTTCCAGTGGGCTAGGCAGACTTCAATATGGTTAAATATATACATAAATATAACGTGCCTTTTTCCCTAATAGAAAATTGTATCCTCTACCATTCACAGACCAGTCTTTGTCTTTTGATATTTACCTGGCTCAGTGAAGCGAAGGCAGTAGCACAAACGGGAATAGGCGTATTTAGTAGTATATGTATCATTTGAGTTGTCCGTTCGGTCAGGACTATTATAGCCATGTATAAGTCTTACTCACTCATATCGATTGGCGACAGGTGTATGTATGTATGTATGTAGAGGAGAATCCCGACGAGCTGATTTCAACTGGTGGTGGTGATATAGAGATCATAACAGAAATCAGTATGTGTAATAAATCCAAACTATAAACATAACATAACAATTTCGCTTTATTCCAGAAACAGTACTTGTGGTACAGTGTGGAATTTTCAGCACATATCTACAATATTGCATCTAATTTCATCGTACATTTAAAAGGAGTATTATAAAAAAAAATAAAATATATATAAAAAAAACAACAAAAAAACCAAAAAAGAAAAGAAACACAGAAATAACAAAAAATGCAAATAAAAATACCAAGTAAAAAGGAAGATAAACACAAACAATGAAAAAAAAATATTTCAGTATTGGTTAGTGGAAGCTACGGTATGTGTATGCGTGGTGAACAGTAACAGCTATAGTCATACGGGAAATTATGAGATGTTCTTAAAAATGTTTATAGCCAAGATGATCAGTTAATTTGATTGAGCAACGCTAAGCAATCATAAGATAAACATTTCCGGTTTTTTTTTGTCAGTACTAATGCGGTTTGTTTGTAGTGGCAGTGTGAGGAATCATGCATAATACAAAATTTTTAAGATGGTGATAGTGGCAATAACAAACAAGATTGTCAGTTAAATAGTGCCGAACAAAGAACAACCACAAAACTAATGTTACATGATGGTTAAAGACGGGACAATTTTTAATAATCATAGCGATAATATAGTCAGACCCAGTAGATGTACAAAGAAGGAATAGAATAAAGAATAAAAATGTAAGCCAATGATAATAATTTTAAGCAGCTAAGTATGTTTAAGAAGGTTGTTCACTATAGAGTACAAATAAGAGAGTGTAAGGGGGAAAAAAACAAGGGCCAAAATTATGTTATCAACCACAAAGCAAGTCATAGGTTTCACGCCTAACATTGTCTCTGTCACTTAGAACACGGGCCAAATATGGTATCGCTGAGTTCCTATACTTGGTTGTGCGAGCATATATTATTTTATACTGATTTCTGGTTCTACCTGATGAGATGCAAGGAGAGAGTTGGGAATAGAGGGGGTGTTGGGGGTCAGAGAGTATGGTTTTAGACCATTTCTCACATGTATTCAGATGCTTATCCACTAATGTTGTGACGAGCTGACTGAGTTTTACACCGCTAGTCCTGCTAACTACCTTCAACATCCTTCTCAGGATGGTATAATCCTTTTTCAGTAACCCAGGAAAGACTAACGGGGAACAGTAAAGTAGAATAGGTAGGATACGAGAGTTGACAAATTGCGTAAGCAGAGGTTGAGGGACTCCAGTTAGTCTGAGTTTCTTAATGTAGTAGGTTAGACGAAACACTTTCTTGGAAATCATTTGGATATGAGATGACCAAGTAAGGTCGGAAGATATAACTAATCCGAGGTATTTTGCATTAGACTTTGTTTCAATTATAGTCCCCTCGATTCTACAGACATCATGAGTGCTTACTAGAGTTTGTAGATCTCGTTTATGCCTAAAGGAGAAGTCGACAGTCTGGCATTTTGAGGGATTCAGCGTTAGGCCATTTATTTTAGACCACTGACTGATGTCCGACAGGAAGCTATTTAATTTGAAGCAGTCTGACTGAGACTTAACGGGAAGCGAAACAGTCAGGTCATCTGCATATTTGACGAAGTTGATTTCGTCTGAGAGAGGTAAGTCATGTAAGAAGAAGGAAAAGAGAAACGGCGAGAGAACAGCACCCTGAGGAACACCAGCTTCAGTAAGCAAAGGAGAGGAAGCTACACCATTATATACCGTGTACTGCATCCTATGCCATATTTTGTTTTTGGGGGAGGGGGGATAATCTACAAAAAGTGTGTAAATTATTCATTCATTGAGTTCACACGCGAATCGACTTTCTGCCTCTTGAAGCTGATTATTGTATTAGTAATGTGTGAGTGAACAGTATTCATAACTTCTTCTTTCTCTCCCCCATTCTCTGTTTTTGTTTTCTTTTCTTCTTCCTTCTCAACAATCTAGGCTGAACATCGATCAGCTTGTATTCAGGAAAACTATTATCGATGTTTTGGTTCGTGTAAACGTCTTTTTCCCAATATTGATATTTTTCGAGAACATTTATCAGTTTGTCAGCATGCACAAACAATTTTTCGGTCAACATTTGGATATTCCTATACTTATAGTAATGATAATAATGACAATAATAATAATCATGGTAATAAGGATATACTTAATTTATTGGACCCAGAGCATACAGATGACAACCAACAAGCACAAGCACAACAGCAACAGTCTGTCAGAACCTACTCATCATGTGAGAATAATGCATCTTCTTCGTCTGCTTCGTGTGCTTCTAGTTATGGGAGGATGAGTAATAATGCATCAGTAATATTTGATCGAAAATTATGCTTCTGTGCATACTGTGGTATTGGACCAAGGAGAAATACAGCGGTGACTGGTGGTGGTATTCATCCTTCGTCTACAGAGATAATAACAACAACAGCAACGACAACAAGAACAACAACTACTACTATGACTTCAACTTCTTATTCCTTGTGTATGGATCATCCACATGCACAGATGACTTCTGATTCATTATTGCTGCCTGCAGAATCAAATGTATCAGACGAAGGTATATATATATATGTGTGTGTATGAGGGAGTGTTTTCTGCCGTCCTCCCTCCTCTCATGTCTGGTTTTTATTCCTTTGCCTTTTTCCGACTGGTGGAACATGTGAGAGCTTTAAGCTTTCCGAAGTTTAAGCAGCAACTTGGAAATCCGCCTCATTGAGTCATAGAAAAGTGGAGGGTGGGGAAACACTCAACAAAGAGTTACTTTTTTCACCGATATCATTCTCAAGTTGTGTACAGTCGCATGTATAGATATATATATGATTGTAGTGTGCGTCGGTGGCACAGTGGTAGAATGCTTGCCAACCACGCAGGTGTTTCAGGATTCGATCCCCGGCCACCGACGAACTCGTTTACCTCGCTCGCTAAGCCAATATTAAGACTGGCTGGTAAGGGAGAAGATTGGGCATGAGGCAAGATTACCGTATGTATCCTCTTAGATCACTGTGAAGTTCCTTGTTCCGGCGGGTTAGCTTGCTGTTCAGATTTGTTTGATCAGGTGTTCGAGGATAGAGCTGCGGGGCGATCATGAGGGTAAGTGTTTGATTATACGTTTGGATTGGAAACACTTAGTACGACCGACGTGCCTATTTCGAAATAAGTGGGTGAATTGACAGATATATATTGATGGAGCCAGTCAGCAGTGGTAGGTTATCCTTCATGTTCATGAGGATTATTGGTTTTTGGAGGAAAGTTAGACGAAGTTTAGCCTCGAAGGTTTCCTTCAGTGGGTGGGACAGGTGATTTCTCAGTGTTTCTGTCGATGATACTCTATTCAGTTGTATGAATTCAGGTAGAGAGGTATTTTAGGAGCCGAAAGTGTAGGCGGTTTTAGAGGTTTAGTCTTCATAGATTTCGTGAGAAGGCATCTTCAAGATACCGAGATGACTTCGACATACGTTACCCCATGGCTAGTTACATTTTTATTTGATTGTCAGTGCCAGGAGATAGTCAGAAACAAACGCAATACTAAGCAATAAAATCTTTTACTGTTTGTGTGTTGAGACACGTAAGGAGATGTAGACTGCTTGGTTGTGGTCCTCGGAATGCCAACAGCTATCTAATTATCGGTTAGAGAACCATTGGGAAACCTGGGAGTACTGTACAGACAAGCGTTTCGACCTAGTTTGGGACTCTTCAGATATACCCCCTCGCCGGAGTTCGACCACTAACGAATGTCATTTACGAGTATTTTTTCTCATACATTCTGTCATTCTGTGCACTCCGCTGATGATGACTATCCATTAGAATTCAGATAACTACCTACCTGAATCGAGTCAGTCGCCAGTGAGCATGAGACAAATACTTGCCAGCGATGACATTGACTAGTGGTTGCACTATATCGTGAAGCTGGTATTCATTGACTAGCCATTGGGTCGGGTTGGGTCTCAGTGGCTAAATGGTTTGCGAGCTCGCCTTGTACTCACCGAAAGGTCCTGTGTTTGAACCTTGGCCTGGTGGTGTGTATTTACTACCGACGAGTCCCAAACTAGGCTGACGAAACAGCTGTCTGGCAGTACTTCCAGTTGATTTTCTAATGGTTGTCTAATCGGTATCAGTTGATGGCCAATGAAATCGCTGCAAACCAACGATTGAAAAGCCAACTAGTAGCTGTCTATCGGTCATTGTGTCAGTTGAAAATGTTGTCAACGGTACAGGTGCATTGTCATCTCCCCGACTAATCAAATCCTCATAAATGCTTCGTAGAATCATAGATGCCAAAAACAGTTTCCAAGTGATGAAAGGCAACACACTTGTCTAGTGTGTCTTCTGCGTACTCAGGAATTCTCTGATTAATTGGTTTATATACGTACATGAGCGTGGAAAGCTTTTATTTGAAATGGAATGCATGCACAGTTGTTTTATCTTATTTTATCATTGTTAAGGTTAATTTAATAAAAAGCTAAATCTCCATAACTGTTAGTGGTGTGTGTATCACTACTGTACTGTTGTACTACTTTGTTTGTTTGTTCTTTTTGCTCAGTGACACCAAGAGGAAACAACGAAATCAATCTAGTACTTCAAAATCAAGAATCAGTAGCAGACAATGGTTCTAGTTCCGACTGTTCTCAACAGCTACTGCAACAACAACAACAACATCAACTACAAGAATCTCCTAGTAACTGTGATACAACTCCATTCACTGCTCGATACTTTACAGATCTGATAAATTTACACAATCATGAAAGAGATTCTCACTTTTTCGACAGTCGTAAACTGATTGCTTGTCCTTGGTGTCACAAGCAATTGACATTTTCTAAAAAAGATAATGCTAATGTGACTTATGAACACTTATTATCACATGTTCATGAACACTAGTAAGTTATTTTTATTTGCTTATTTTTTAATTTAACAAAACAGAATCCATGATGAAGAGTTGGTTTGTAGAGGGGGGAAGCATTTGATTTGATGGATGGATGGATTGATTGATATCAGTTAGAGAAGCATTGGGTAAATGTAAACCAGCTGGGAGTTCTGGTATTGGACAGCTGTTTCGACAGCCCAGTTTGTGACTCATCGACAGTTCGCGACCAGAGTTAGAGCTGGAACGCATGACCTTCCAGTAGTTACAAGTCAAACTCGGAGATCAGTCAGCCACTCGGACCCGATTTAAACTTTGGAATAATATTGGCAGACCACCAATCGCAAATACTTCCCAGACTCTTCTCAGCGCCTGTCGTAGGCGCCTCAAACTAATTGGTGAACTCAAATGTTCTGTTTCCTTCCGCAATACCAAATTCACAGGAATTTGCTACGTCACCAAGAGTGATTTAAATCTTTTGGGACTTGATTGGTTCGATCGTTTGCATCTGGCTGATGTCCCACTAAATTCGCTATGCAATGCGGTCAAGAAGCATAAAATGTCAGACAATTCCGGACGAAGCCGAAGCCGCAAACCCAACAGGCAGACGAAACGACAGACGTCAACAACAAGCTCAAAGGTTCCAGATAAACCCCCAGGAAAACATCCTACTAATCATCAATCTTCTCAAAAGGGGAGGTGATATGTATCCACATATATATATGTGTGTGTGTGTATAGTGGTCTCTCTTTCTGTTTGCTCGCTTAGTCTGTGACCATTTCACTTTGATGAACCTGTCTCCTTAACAATGTATATTCCCCTTATATTATATATAATATAATATGAGTGTTTGTTGACAGTCCGTTGCTTGGTGACATATATCCATATATGGTGGTTGTTGACATGTCTGATATATTTTGCTATGTATATATATGGATCGACACTCCATTATAATTAGCCATTCATGTTAAGACTGTCTATTGATTTGTTCACACCCTTGTCTGGATGGTCATATATATTTCGCTCTCACAATTTGTGTGACTTACTTACTTTGGTGTGATACCACTTATTGCTTCTCCTTGTGTTTGGAAAATAGAAGTATCATCGCAAACCTAGTGGTCTTCTGATTTCCGCTTTCTTGCGTCAGGACTATTAAATTCTCGACCAGTACATAGCAATAATTTAGCGACGAGTACATAACAATTTGGCGACGGGCAAAACTATGGATCCTTCTAAATTGGAATTATTGTTTGAACGACAAATGAAATTAATGGAAATGTTCGTCAACCAACAGACTGGTCCAGCTTCACCTTCAAGCAATCCGAACCATATCATGCTACCATCTGTCGACGGAATTGTGAATGGTATTTCACAGTTCAATTATAATCCAGATGCGAATGTCACTTTTGACACATGGTATCAACGTTATGAGGATTTATTCACTGTTGATCTCGCCTCACAAGACGATGCTTGGAAGGTGCGAGTGTTGTTACGTAAATTGGGTCCCACAGAATATGAACGGTACTGCAACCTAATTTTACCCCAGAAACCACGTGACAAGTGTTTCGGTGATACAATAAAGCTGTTGCATGAACATTTTGGAGACCACTCCTCATTATTCAGAATACGTTATCGTTGCCTCAAGCTGACAATGAATGAAAATGATGATTTTCTTACTCACGTTGGCACAGTCAACCGAGAATGTGAGAGATTTCGACTCAGGTCCTTATTATTATTATATTATTTATTATTGTATCCTTTAGTTCCTAGAGGAACATAGGGCTTCAGCTGCGCACCTCCATTGACTTCGGTTTTTTGACAACTTTTTCACCCTGCTCCAGGTCTGCCCACATGCTTTCATCTCCTCTTCACATGACCTCCTCCAAGTCACCCTTGGACGACCAACTCGCCGCCTCCCTTTCGGGTTCCACTCGAGGGCTTGTCTAGTGATGTCACTTGTTGGTTTCCTCAGCGTATGGCCAATCCATCTCCATTTCTTTCTGCCTATTTGTTTCACAATCGGTTCCTGATTGGTTCGCTCCCAGAGATCCCTGTTGCTGATCTTTTCTGGCCATCTGATCTTGAGTATTGAGCGGAGACAGTTGTTAATGAAGGTTTGAAGTTTGTTTGAGATGCTCTTTATGACTCGCCAAGTCTCTGATCCGTATAGTAGCACTGACTTCACATTGGAGTTGAAAATCCGGATCTTATTTTTGATGCTGAATGCTGTTGACCTCCACACAGATTTGAGAGTAATGAAAGCTTGTCTTGCTTTTCCGATTCTGGCTTTGATGTCCTCGTCAGTTCCGCCTGTAGTTGAGACGATGCTTCCCAGGTAGGTGAAGGAGGTTGTTTCTTTCAGGTTCTTCCCATTTATGCTTATTGTGGTCTGTTGTTGCTGTTGATGTTGGCAAGGAATCTTCATCATCTCTGTTTTATCTATGTTCACGTGAAGTCCTATCTTTGATGCTTCTTCTGCCAACTTGTTACTTTTCATTTGCATATCTTCCAGTTTATGGGAAATCAGACATATATCATCGGCGAAATCCAGATCCTCCAAGTCTTTTGTGTCAGTCCATTTTATGCCTGTTCCCTCGTTGGTTGCCGTTGTCTGTCGCATTATCCAATCAATTGCAATCAGGAAGATCATTGGTGATAGTAGACAGCCTTGCCTCACTCCCGTCCTCACTTCGAAGGCTTCCGTAAGTTTCCCGTTGTGGATTACTTGGCATGCAGCATTGTCGTATAACTGTTGGATGAGGTGTATAATTGTCGATGGGACCCCGTAGTAGCGAAGTAGTTTCCAAATGACCTCTCGATCGACGCTGTCGAAGGCCTTTTCAAAGTCGATGAAGTTGAGATAGAGAGGTGACTGCCATTCCAAGCTTTGTTCAATGATGATCCGTAGAGTGGCGATTTGATCAATACATGATTTGTTTCTCCTGAATCCAGCCTGTTCCGGACGAAGTTTTTCATCTAGGGCTTGTTTGATTCTCTCCAGGATGATGCGACTTAGTATCTTGCTTGGAATGGACAGAAGCATAATTCCCCGCCAGTTTTTACATTGACTTAAGTCTCCTTTCTTTGGAAGTTTGAATAAGTAACTGTTCTTCCAATCCTCGGGTACTTTGCCCTCTTTCCACACCTTCTCCAGTAGTGGTGTCATCAAGTCCGCTGTTGTCTCTGGGTCTATTTTCAAAGCCTCTGCTGGGATTCCATCTGGTCCCGGTGTTTTCCCAGTTTTAAGCATCTTGATTGCATTCAGGACTTCTGATTTCGTCGGGGGGTCAGTGTTCACTGGTAGTTCTGCTTCCGTTGTTGGTATTGCTGGACGTGTTGTAGGTGGCGGACGATTTAGAAGTCTTTTGAAGTGTTCAACCCAGTGCTTTCTCTGTTCCACCTCTTTGGTGATTGACTTTCCATTGTCGTCCTTTATTGGCTTAATCTGTGTCGAACGTTTGCCCGAAAGGTTCCTAGTTGTTTGGTAGAGTGTGGCGAGGTCTCCTTTGCCTGCAGCTTGTTCTGCTTCGTTTGCCATGGTTTCATAATATTTTCTTTTGTCTTCCCTGGCACTTTTCTTCACTCTTTTGTTCAGTGTATTGTAGCTTGCATTCAGCTCCTGTTTTTGTTGCTCGTCGTGCACTGGATAATCTTTTGCTTCACTGTCCTTCTCTCTTCTATTAGTTTCCAAGTGTCCGTAGTGAGCCACTGTTTGTCCTGTCTCTTTTTTCTGCCTAGAATTTCTATACAGGTTTGGCTCCACACCGTTTTCAAGTTGTTCCAGTGCTTTTCAACGCCGACCTCTTCGCTAGTGTTGATTTGTGTCTCGGCTTTGTCCTTTATGCTTGCAATGAAGATGTCCTTTGTAGCCTGGTCCTTCAGCTTTTGAGTGTTGAACTTGGCTTGTGGTCTATCTGCAGCTCCTCCTTCTTTGAAAGCTTTTAATTTGATTTGGATTGTCCCTTGTACGAGATAGTGGTCTGAGCCAACGTCTGCTCCTCTTCTTGCTTTTGTGTCCAGTAGGCTGCGCCTCCACTTCCTTGAGATTGAGATGAAGTCGATTTGGTTTTTGGTTTGCCCGTCTGGTGACACCCATGTAGCCTTGTGGATATCTTTGTGCTTGTATACACTGCCACCAATCACCAGTTCGTTGAAGGCGCAGAAGTCGGCGAAGAGTTCTCCGTTTTCATTCATTTCTCCTAGAGCTTCTCTACCCATGATGAGTTCCCTTCCCGTATTGTCTGGTCCCAGTTTGGCGTTCATGTCTCCCATTAGTATTTTCATGTCGCCAACTGGAGTATTGTCCATTGTTGCCTGTAGTTGCCTGTAGAATTCTTCTTTCTTCTCGAGGTCTGCGTTGTTTGTGGGTGCATAACATTGTATGATTGACACTTTCCTTCCTTTGGAGTTGAACCTGGCGGTCATTATCCTGGACGAAATCGCCTCCCATTGTATCAGGGCTTTCGTTGCCGTTGGTGACATCATGATAGCCACGCCCTCGGTGTGCGTGTGGTTATCTTCTGGGTGACCGGAGTAGATCACTGACTCACCTGTTGACAATTTGGTGAGTCCACTCCCATTCCATCTGCTCTCACATATTCCCAGCACTTGTATTCCGTATCTTTTCATCTCGTTGGCGATCTGGGCAGCTTTTCCAGTCTCGTACATAGTTCGGACGTTCCATGTTCCTACACAGACTTTTTCTTTTGGTGCAAAGAGGTTCATTTTGCTGAAGGTTCTGTAGCAACTTTGTTTACAGGGTGTGGTTGCTAGCCTCACGCCTGAGAAAAGAATGATTACATTAAGTAAAAGTTTAGAGAGAAGCAACTTTTTGGGTTGCTCCCCTCAAAATCAGAAAATAACGGACAAACAATGAGAACAACATCAACAAAGGAAACAGTTCACAGAAAAAAGGGCAAAAAGCGACGACAACTATAAAATAAGACAACATGCAATATAGTTCAGTACAGTTAACTAAAATGATATCTTAACCATAAACTCACTGACTTGGAGCAAC